ACTCAAACATTTTTCATTATTTACAAAATACTTCTGTAAGGTAAGAAAAATTTATCTTAAATCTAATGCAGCAAGATAAAACTATAAGAGTAACAGAAAGTGTTCTATCCACTGTTTGAAAAATATAAACATTTAGCAACCCAACATAGAAAGTCACCATACCGTAATCTTCCATCCTGTGCAGCTGCACCTCCGGCTATGATTTTTGTAATGAAAATACTCGAATCATCCCCAATATGTGGGTTGTCTGTACCACCTGCAATGCTAAAGCCAAGTCCTGAATTTCCCTAAAGGTAGAGTGGGGGGAAAAACCAAAAGACATACAACATTTCTTTTTGGCAGAAAAGATATTCTAGTATATCTATTTGATCCAATAGAGAACCAAATCTACGTAATTTTCACTGACAAAAAAAGGTATTAAAAGAGACTTTAAGCAGTAAACTACATATAACCATACGTAAGACGTAATTACACTTATTTTCATAGAAGTAAGAACTTAAGTCATTATGTAACTGTAAAAGACACATTTCCAACCCCACAAGCTTTGTCATTGAGGTAAACTTGATAAACTAGATAAAAACTCCCCTCTCTAGTGAGCTAGATCTTTGAGATTATTCATACGAGTATTTGCTCCTCATCAAATTATTAGTGATGAATTATTCTTCCCAGAGAAGCCCCCAAGTAATTTGTGTCACTTATGTAATGTATCTTCACAGACGCAGAGATTCAGACTGACATTTTCTCTTCGAAGGTTGCCCGCCCTTACTATCAACTGCAAGACCTTTTCACCCTCTCAATAACCACCAGAACTGCATAGGTATCAAATAAGATTTCTTTCTTTCTTTATGTTAACAGTGCAGTTCAAGAATAGAGAGCTGAAATAGATCTCAGGATTGTAAATCTAACAAAGCAATACATATGACAAGGTGTCACTTGCAATCTCAACTGGAAGCCTGAATCTCAATATAAAACTTAATGGTATAAATACAAGCCTACCATAAATGGCAATATAGGAAATGAAATCATAATTTATTTTATTACTCTCTACAAGCCTAGATAATAACATTAAATGCAGTACATGTCAGGGACATCCTTCCCCCATTTTACTCTCAATGGTTAAGAATATTAATAAAAACTTATAGTCCTGCTACAGTAACTGGGTGGGTTTGTTTTTCTTTAGGTTAAATAATCTACCTAAAGGAAAAAAAAAAAAAACAAACAGTAAGGACTGTTTTGGATTGCCACTTAGGAGTATCAAGAGGTTAATTTTTCATATTAAAGTATCATAAATCCCATCTAAAACAGAGTACAGAAAGACATTTAGCATGTTACCCTTTCAAGAGTAATTTCTTCATACTCATAATCTGCATCCGTGCCATTGACCTATAAAGACATAAAAGTGAGACAGAGAATTTTACACTTTACACGGCAGTTTGCTCGGCAGGCAGTTCACTCCCATCAAATCTCAGCTGATTCATAGTGACCACTGAGCTCAGAGGGGACGTGTGATTTTCACACTACTCTGTACATGAATCAGACACTCTTTTCATAGGAGTTTAAAAGTTAAGATTTCAGAGCGCAGACTGTTCTACACAGTTATTGTAGAGCAGAGGCCCTCTGCTTCTGATTGCCAATAAAAAAAAAAATGCCCTTGAGATTCTCAGATGTTCCTCAGGCCATACAGCAAGTTGAAACCAAGAAAAAAGGAAGGGGTCATGGGGTAGTAGGGAAATTGTATAGAAGAACAGAGCAGTATTTTCAAACTGTTGTTCCTCACAGAGCAGAGAGAAAAGAAAAAAAACAAGGAAAGGAAAAAAAAATATCAAAGACCAATGCTTTATACCACTTCTCACTAAAAATGTGTAAGACCCTTCTAAAGCTACACTTAACAGTTGTCTACACTACTATTTACCACAATACATATATACTAAAGATCAACAAATTAAAAAAGGACCAAAAAGAGAAGAGAGTTTAGAAGAATATTTTATAAAGCTAGACAAAAAACCCAAATACTAGAAGTAAGCCGTGTCGTCCTCAAGTTAGAAAGGATACCCACATTCTTTGTTGCCTACAGAACTAGGACAGGATCAAATAACAGAACAAGTATCTAAATTAAGCAAAAAAAAATGAAATATCAAATTCTTAATCATATTTAATATAAAAGTAAGATTAAGATTTTATCTTTTTTAAATTACTAAGATACTTTGGAACTCAAATTCTTTCCTCCAGAGATACCTACAAGCAGCATATACAACGTGCAGTTACAGGCAATTCCCTATTTCAAACCTTTTAGGATGAAATATTTAACTAGATAAGAAATAACATTTATACTATTATTTTGCAAAGCATCTTGTCTATTCTTAAGATTACGTATCTGGTAGTCTTCTGTACTCTTAACATACTATTCAAGATTTTATAAAGGTACAAAATATATGTATAGAAGAAAGTATTTTAAAATCTGTGCAGTCTTCTAGCAGAGAATTAAAAAAAGGCACTTTAACTCACCCTCATCTACTTCATTCCTCATATGTTTATCTGACATATTTAAAAGCTCCAAAAGCTTGAGATGCCACAACTTTCACAGGCTGTCTAATATCAAGCTCATTTATCCCTCCCTACAGTTTCTCTTCAATCTCTAACTATATCTCCTCTTAATACAATAGAAGCCATGTCCATTCCAGACATAACAGATTATTATCTTTTTCTTTGCACAGTACCTCAAAAATGATTATGCCCTTAGTAGCTTGTTCAGTGGAAAAGATACTGTGGTTTTAACACATGATATTTCTTCATTAAAAAGGGAAGAGGTCTTGACCTTCAGAGCACATGAAACTCTATCTATCACTACACCAATACAAAAGAAGCCACTGTGATCAAGAAGTTCTTATGTTAGCTTAGTCCTTGAGCTATTATCTACAAGAATGACAACATGTGCTAACTGAACCACTCATCCAGCATTACAGTACCTGGGAAATGCCTCATTACGACTGATCCGTATGTGCCTTTTTTTTTTTAAATAAGTAACAAGGACAATTAATCATTTCCCTATTCATTACCATTAGGCAAAACAAAGCCAAACCTAATATATCTAAGCAGTCTCTTAAAGTTTATTTCCATATACAAAACTCTGTAATTCAATTTTTAAATATCAACTAGATAATCAGAAGCAACTTCAAACCTCCATAATTTTTATCTTCTGCTTTAGTTCAGTCCTATAGTCCCTTTTTTTTTTTTAATTTATCTTTGAATTGATTTTATCTAACAAACCAAACATTATCAGACACATGAGCAAAGATACATCAAATGTTGAAAAACATTGTCCTATTCTACCTTTTACAAGTTTTGAAGTGATCTCAGATCCACTAACTCAAGCTTTATCTGGAGGTACTTCCCCTGGATGAAGGAAGTTGTATACAAATGCTGTAATTATGCCACAGCAACCTTTGAATCTGAAAACCTATTAGTAGTTCAGCAGAATTTGCTTAGAGCCTTTTGGCTGTACTGAAGTTAATTTCTCTGGTATGGTTAATCTTTTCATGTGCCACTAACTTGATTTTGTTTGCATTTCCTTGGGCTTTTACAAAGAATAAAAAATATGCTTCTTGGTGGTTCTTTCCAACCCAGTTTGAATTCTAAGCGGGAGTACTTCCTCAGCAGCTTTATGATTCAGATAACAAGAGCTGTGTTCTTGACTATTTGTTCCTTGATGACTTTCTAGATTCACATTTTGCTTTTTTCTTCTTTCAATAGAAAAAGTTTTAACAGTTAAGGTTTTTGTAGATTCATGATGCAGTTGCCTTGCACGTCTGATTTTACATTACTAACCACTTTAACAATTCCATTAGCTACTTAGGAACCTAGAAGGATATTCTTTTACTCAACTTCCTATGCCTACAGAGTAGGTTAGATTACAGATAGTTATAGGCTTGTTTGGTTTGCATTCACTGCAAACTGATAATTTAGACAGCTTATAATTTTGAGCACCAGTTTGTTCTGTTAATGCTATTTTCTCTCCCCATTTGTACCATCTACTGTTCTCCACATGCCTCTATCAGATGGGGCCTTTTGAAATGTGAATACATATTTATTAATCACTTTTCTTCTTGGTTTAGTTTGTGTGTGCAGGGAGGCACCTCGCCCTCAGTATGCTGTTCTAAACTGCACCTGCATCACATCAACAAAAAGGCCACACACTGCAGGCTATTGTGATCTTTTAGTCAGAGGCATCATTATTACACTCAGGACTCATTTATGAGCCAATTATGTCACTGTACTAATCTTTTGTCTTTTGCTTAAACTGTTAATTCACACTTTTGTCTGTCTTGAGTTATTACAGCTCCTTTCTAGCAACATTGCTAAGTTACGAATGCTTTTGACAAGGACAAGATTTACTCTTTACTTGCCAATATCAGTACTTGGAATAAACACAATTTAAAGCAACTAGTACAGACATTAACACTGTTCAGGAAAATGACAAGCAAGTGCGATATAAGTAACTGTAGGAGGAAGGTACAGGAGTAAAATCCAGACCTGAAATCTATGCCAAACTTACACTCATTCTAAAGCCTCTGAAGTCTCTATCTACCAGTGGTATCCTATCACAAAACACATGCTGCCAAACACAAATTTTAGCCTCCACATAACTACACTTATTACCTTAATGTTTCAAACAGAACCAATCCATTTTAATGAATATTGAGGGCACTAAAATCTTAAGTATAGCCACTGCATGAAGAATTGTTTTTGAGAAATGTAATGGAAATGGCACATAAAATATTAAAGCATCTGCCTGCACAGTTGAAGAAACAGATTGTTCTCTGAACACTGAAGCTCTGCAACCTCTAACAACTGTGTTTTGCACTGTCACACACTGGTACTTAGATGGAACCTTCTACCTGCAATCTGCAACTTTTTTTTTTCTCATGAAACAGCTATTTAAATAACTATCAGGACAGCTGACGAAATCAAGCACCATCAGAGAGGTAAAACAGGTTTTATTAAACAGTAACAGCACACCTACATACATAAAACATTATCTAAAGTTATAACTGAAAGCAAGTGCAGGCTTACGTATGTTGGAGTCTCCAAAGAATCTGCATTCACCAGCACTGGAGGGGGATTTGCCTTTAAAAAAAGAATAGAAAGAAAAAAATTATACAGCATAAGAGAAAACAATACTAATGATAATTACGCAATATTTAATTTGCTGTGTTTCTCAAAGTTCTGTTAAAAAGTAGCCTCAACTTGAGAATCTCCAAAATACACCTTCTGAAACACTTGTTTCTAACCCTGAACAAATTGCTTTCATGCGGTGAAACCACACTCTTCCAAAACTCTTGAGCTCATATTTTATATACAAGTTCTGTAATTTATTATCTTGTTTTTCAAACGAAAACCTGAATCATGCTATTATTTGACATGACGTCAGTTACCCTAGTACTTGTGGTATGACAATGAGAAGTTGCTTTACCAGTCAATATCTTAAAACCAAATTTTGGTGGATTTGATTCCCCTCTCTTCCTACCAAGAACACTCCCCTTCCTGGCCCAACAACTTGCAAAATGGAAACTCACAGAAATGCAAACTTATGGAAGAAAGGATCTACAAAACTGACTAGTGAAAGCAAATCCACAGCAGACATTCATCTACTGCACAGCAGCATGTGCTTCCATCAGAAAATTGTTATGGATTCACAAGCCATAAACAGTGAGATTATTGCTACAGAAATATGAAATAGTATCGCATCCTTGCTAGTCAGGAGCTTTTAGCATAAGCTAACATTTTTATTCTCTGATGTTATTGAAAATTTTTCTGCAAAAGAATGTGGTTTCAACTGAAAGAAGATCCATACAGACTGGTGGCATTTATCTGAAATACTTCCAAATAAACAGATTCCTATTTTTGCAACAATTATCTGCCTTTAAAATAGGCAGCATCTAGCCTGCTCCAAGAACAAACAAAAAAGGTGTGCCAATACATTCCAGACTCCAAATGCCATTGATGCATTAAGTTCAACAGGACTTACAAATTCAGTGGCACAAAACAAAGTTAATCTCCTTATTGTTTTAATAAAGGTGAGATTTTTTTATAAGTATAAAAATCCATTATATTTAAAATTAAGACTTTTTTTTAATCTCTTAAGTGTGTGTGTATGTGTGGAAATAAATTTAGGGACAGTTTAATGGGCTGCAATTGAAGCTTGTACTAAATTCATTGAAAGAAACTTAAGACCTACAAAAACATGACAATTACATTAACCTATTCATCTTCTGCATTTTTGTTTCATTACCATGACAACAACATACTTCTGAAGAATTCATGATTTTTAAAAGCTCCCAAAAGCTAGGAAATAAGTGATGACTCACAAAAGACTGAGATGAATAATCTACCATCACTAGACAGAAGTCAATCAATCCGCTATCAGGTCGCTGTGTCAGAAACTAACTACTAAAAATCAGGTGGTACTTACGTAAGTTAACAGAGTAGACTATTAAAAAAAAAAAGGAAACAAAAAGGATGACACTTGTGACTGTCAAGATGCCATCAAACACCTTTCTCACCCAGGAAGCCTCTCAGTAGAAACATGGGCACACTTGCAGTACAGAAATCAATCACAACAGTATCACAATAAAAATCTGTGTCAAAACAATGCCATCCCTTCACAATCATTTTCTGCCTTTAAGTTACATTCCAATTTCTGCTTCTTATTCAATGGTAAGTTCTATTAAAATAAGATTAAATTAAAAATAAGTTCCTGTACTGAAAATACTGATCAATTAAATTATGCATAACCATCCCTGTAAGAGCTTTACAATTAACACTATTTTAAGACAAACAATACAACACGTTATATTAAAGAGAACCTCACTGAGTATAAGGCATTAAGAGTTCTAATCTCCAGTGGATCTATAAGAGACCAGCATACATACATTTATTTCATATTTGTGTAGGAACTATGAAAATATTTTTAATTTCTAAATAGAAAAAAAACCCAAGGATTAAGTTTTAAAGTTCAGTCATGTTCTTTACATTTCACCTAACTTTGGAATTTATATTGAATTAATATTAGGATTCTGTAATATCCAAGTATATTAACAAAAGCAGTGCCAGTGAAAGTTGGCTTCCCGTGAACCTTTTTCTTGAGGCTGACAAGTGTTCTTCTTTTAATGTCTTAAAAGGAAGAAGAGGAACACTAGCTAAAAGCAAATTGCTATCAGTAGGTGAGGTTTCTATGTGAACAGTATGTTTGAGACACAAATTAGCCAACTGATGCAAAACATCTTCCCTAAGTTAAGTGATTGTTCCTAACACTCCTTCTGCATTTATCTGAATTCTCCATCAAGCAGCAGTAATTGATCATCATTTCCAAGCAGGAAGGAGAGACCTTTGTGCCAGGCATTCCAAAGGTACACCTGGACACTGCACAGACACAGGGCAACATCTAACTCAAAACATCAAATGTTTTTGGAAAGAAGACCTAGTATTTCAGTCTATTTTACCAGAGTTCTCCAAAACACCTAACACTTTCAAGATTCTGTGCCAGGGCTTGTTCAAATATTTAGAAGTCATTTGACAACTTTGTTTACAAGCAGACTAAGGGCTTGCCTAAGGGATAAAGTGATTAACAAAATACAGAGATGTATCTATTGCACAAAAATGCATCTGCCAAATCCAAAGCTGATCATAACATCTTATGGTATTTTCCAATTGCTTAAAATCACTAACGATGCAGAATTACAAAGCTAACTCCTGCAGACATTTATATGCACTCAGAAGACAGAGGCACAGACCACTCAATTCTTACTCTCCTGCTTGTAATCCTGCATCATCAATGGACTGTAATACTGCCACAACAATGGCAATCAAAGAAAATATAAATATACATAGCACTAATTATTTTATTTTAAATTAAGCTTAGCCTACTGGCAATTCCCTGAAAGTAAACGCTGCTAGAGACTCAGTTATCTTTATCCATTGAGGCTGACAACAGAAGCTCACTGGCTGCACTAGTCTGCCCCAAATCCTCATGTCGGCAGAATTCTTCTATAAGGAGGAAGTATTTCTGAAACTAACCAAATCTCTCATCTGCCTGTTGGGAAAAGTATGGGTGACAGATTCATGTAAACACACATCCACTAGAAATTGAACTATTAACAGCCAACTGTGGAAACTTCTGATAATTATGGGATTATGTAAAATTTAACAATCTAGCAGAGATAAAAAATATTACCACCTGTTGCAAGTTTAGCCATGTAGCTGGAAAGCAGACCTTAAGAAAAAACAAACACTGACTTACATACTACAAAAATATCCCAGTAATAGTCTACAGAGCTTAACTCCCTTTTAAAGTTAATAAATATCTGTCAAACAATTCCAAAAAGTGATCCATATTTTCAGAAGGCATGTACTCATCGTTTGAGATTTCTGCACTGAAAGTTATAGTAAAGTAACGAAAAAATAAAAGCAGAATACCATTCTATATGCAAAAATATAACTGCTACCCATCCTAACTTATTCCATAGCTTGCTATGCTGTGGTCACATATTCCAAGTTATATGCAAGATACTAATGTTAACTCATGTTTGCTGCTTCCACTTGTCTTGACAGGGCTTGGGGGTTTTTTTGTATGTTGACATTATGTGACCTAAAGGATGAAGGTCTAGAAGGGGAGCACATTTTATGAGTCAAATACGTTAGCAATAAAGGGGTAAAAAAAAAAAAGGCAGAAAAAAATCATTTTGTATTCTAAATGTCCCCCAAGAATACTAATACCAACAAATGGTTGGAGAACATTAGAAACATCATGCAAGTACAGTCAATGAAAGACAATATATTAAGTATTTGTATATGACACAAGACAATGATTCTCTATAAATAAATCAAGCAATAACACTTCAACAAGGGTGAAATGGCTCTAAAATTTTTAAGTGAACACAAAATATCCTATCGCTTCTTTCCATTCTTTTGAGGTTTTCTTTAGTTATTTCATAACTTATTTTAAATGGACTAAAAGCTGCTATAAAATAAACAAAAATTAGGATGAAACCCTAGTGTATTACTAATTCAGCTATTTCACAGTTCCTCTTAAACCTGTGTGTGAGGGTACCAAAATGTGAACTTAAACAAAGCAATGAAATAAACTGAATAAATAAAAGTTGAACAAATTTAACCAAAAAAAAAAAAAAAAAAAAAAAGAGTAAAAACCTGTGGTATGGTGGATGGGATGACAGTGGTCTCAGCAGGGACTGGTGGGACAGGGATCACAGGGACAATGGGAGAAGAGGAATGAACAGCTTCTGTAGGCTAAAAATCACGAACAAAATGTCAAAACCAACAAAAACTAGAAAAACATCTAAAAACAAACAAGATTTAAATTTAACAGCTTTAAAAAAATTCTGAAATAGCATATGGATTTGGAGACTGTCACTACAACTGAAGACAACCAACCACCTTTAACCATGCTGCATCTGGCAGTGCATCCCTAGCAATATGCTCATGTCAAAGATCCTAAAGCAGTGTGACATAACCCGATGGTCTACTCATACCAAGTTACTCACCTTGCAGTACAGGGTAATGAGACTTTGGGGTCCAAGAGGAAACCTGTTCATGTCAGCAGACAGAATCGGGCTTTTTGTGGGCTGGTTTCACAACAGAAGCCCTTCACCAATATACAACAGTGTGCAAAAGCAGGGAAACAGTGGCTAAAGTTGACAGCACTGAACAAAGTTAATATTCCTCTTTGATAAAGGGGAAAAATCAGAAGTGCATTAAGGTTTCTAAACTGGGCAAAAATCAAAAGAAAAATCTTTTAGTCAAATGGGCGGTAGATCCTAAAACAAATTCAATCTACCTCTCAAAGATCTTCATACACGTTTATCGTACACCTTCAGACTAGCAGAATTTTGGTCTTAGGAATTTTCATTAAAATAACCACCAAGAAAGCTACTGACACTTAAGCTGCAAGGGAACAAGATTACAAATAGCATTTTGAGCAGAACATTTGACTAAAATAATTTTGAGATGTTAACATACTGGTTGTCAACAAGCTGTCAGCAACAAACTACTGGCAACTATCACCAAAATTACAAGCTGAACAGCAGATCAAAGCTCTTGCAACCTAGTTGTTCCAAGTCATTTTTGTGATCTTTAAATATAATAAAGCATAATGACAAAAGAACATACTAAATCCAGAAAATGAACCAAAAACTCAGAATAACAGTATTAAACATATTTTTTGTTTGAGAAATTTTAAAACACAAAGCAACACACACCAATAGCATACTAAATCCTGAAAATGAACCAAAAACTCAGAATATAACAGTATTAAACATATTTTTTGTTTGAGAAATTTTAAAACACAAAGCAACACACACCAATAGCATATACTAAATTACAGAGCAAAAGCAAATATTAAAGAAACCTGAAACTGCCCAAGAGCAGCAATCCTTATTAAATGTACATATGGTATTTCTACAGGGAGTTTTTTTCAGCTCAAAGTCAACCTCCTCAAAATGAACAGCTGGTGAAAAATGTTGCAGTTACTGAAAGATGTAAGAACAAGATATATTTGATACCTTGAGAGGTTATGACTAATGTCATTTAAACATTCTTACATCTGTGGACAACAGCACAATTTTTCAAGTGTTAAAAAAGGAAGGTTGGGGAAAATCTAAATTGGACTAGCAGAATGATAATAAGCATTTTGCAAAGGATGCAGGAAATGCTCAGTGCAACAAACTTCCAGTTACCAGAAGAACAATGCAACCTTTAGAGGACAGAACAAATTAAATAGCTTGAGCAATCACTCAGCCCTACATATGCAAAAAATAAACCACCCCTTCAAGTCTGCCTTGTTCAAAAGTAAGCAGCTTCCCATGTATGTACACAGTAAAAATCCTGTTAACCAAAATTTCAGATATGCACGGATTACGTATCAAAATATTACACAACATTAAGGCTGCAAAGCTAAGCATTAGTAGGTCAGAAAAACTCCAGCTTTACAGTACAACTCCTGCAATAAGAGAAGGTTAAAAACAAACTTAAGTTATTCTTAGATCCTGACCATACACTTCCCTGCCCTTTGACTTAGCAAAATAAATGACCAAGTCGCAGTTGATTTCCTTAATGGGCCAAACAACCTGCACCCCTCTCTTTGCACCAAATGGCAACTTTATTTTCCTGCTTCTTTTTTTTTTTTCCTCAATTCCTAACTCCCATGTCAATTTGGGCTTCTCACTCCCAAATGCTTCAAGAATCCTCCCCAGTTCCATTATGCTTATTATTTTAAAACTGACATTGTTCAAAGTCCTTTAATGCTTTCAGGTTCCTTTTCCTCAATTCTAACTCCCATGTCAATTTGGGCTTCTCACTCCCAAATGCTTCAAGAATCCTCCCCAGTTCCAATTATTATGCTTATTATTTTAAAACTGACATTGTTCAAAGTCCTTTAATGCTTTCAGGTTCCAGTCTCATAAGCTATTCATACTGTTACTGTATTTTCCCTTTGTGCTGTTGGTTTAGTATTCAGTGACTCAAAAGCCACTCCCTGCTCCTCCAAGCGTCCTGGCAATGCTCCTGTTGAGTCTCCTTCATTACCATGCAGGCAAGGAAAGAGGTGGCAACACTGGCAACCACTTTCAAAGGATATGCAAATCCAAATCAAGGTAAGACTGTCTTCACTTGAACGTTTCATGGAATACAGTGAACTGATGCAGGCACTATGGCTGCCACAAGGAAGGACAATGCAAGAAATGAAAAGATTTTTAATCATCAGAGAAAGAAGACCTGCAACTTCCTTATAACAGAAGAATGCTAATTTTATTTTAGTGCGGCACATAATCAGTCTGAAAATGATTACACGATACAGGAATCTGTGAGAGCAGCTGAATAAGCTCCAACAGCCCAGAGTATTGCTTTCAATGCTTTGTTTCCCATGAATTTTCAAGAAAGACTTGTAATTTTTAGGAATTCTCCAAAAATACACTAAAGTATTCTGAAAACCAAAATCTTATCCTTAAAATTACTGTAAATAAAGACGTCTAGCATGTTAATGATCCCAATTTGAATGGACACAAACTAATCTAAACTACAAAGAAAGTAGTGGGCCAATTAAAACCTTGTTTTGAATATACAGGAACTATAGCACACAATTATGATAGACTATTATATATAGGAATGCGTGACTTGAACAATAACTCACTTTAACAGAGTCTGTAGCCTAAATAAACGCGCTAACACCTACAACGAAAAGCCATTCTGTTACAACAGTATGATAAATCTCAAGTAATTTTTTTTTAAACTCACTTTGTAACAGAGTCTGTAGCCTAAATAAACATGCTAACACCTACAACGAAAAGCCATTCTGTTACAACAGTATGATAAATCTCAAGTAATTTTTTTTTAAGTGTAAGGATGGACTTTAACATCTACATATAAAAAAATCATTTAAGTGGTATGTTTAAAAAAGCTAAGATAATAGTGCCTTAAAGCAATCAATTAAAATGAATGCCTCCAAATCTAACACTAAGTCCAGATGTTGTGAAAAGGAAGAACACACCCATTTTCTCATTTTTATCCAACACACAGTAACTCCTGTGAACAAATACCAACTAACCTGAAATTTAATCAGAGCACCATACACACCCTGAAGCGGATCAACTAAACCAGTAAATTCCATAATGCTGCTCTTTGTAAAGTACTAAAAGGTATATGCTGGAGAACAAAAATCAAGCAAACCAGACTTTCCTCAGTTTCAAGAAACTACTGTACAAAACACACGCTGTATACAGTGCAAAATCTTAATGGGAAAACACTGAACAGAAGTATTTCCTTGCCAGCCCATTTTCAATTATTGCTACTTTGATTTCTAGCCATAAAATCCAAAAGAAAATTAAGTAACAAAGTCTCTAGAAATAGCAGGGATAAAACTACAGAAAGAAACAAGTGTGACATACTTTCTGTGGTTCGCATCAAAAATGCGCATCTATAAATGCCTAGAGCAATACATACCTTTTCTAAAGAACAATTAGAACATGAGCCATCAGACACCCAACCACTAGCAGCTTTTACTTTTGCGGTGCTTTTTGTAGGACTCTTCCTTACACTATCACGTAGGTTTATAAATTTTCCTCTATGTTTGGGAGACGCTGGCAGTGTGGATGAACTAAAAGATGTACAAATGCTCAGTGCTTGCTGCTGATGCCGGAAAGACTGCTTTGGTTGCATATGAAGATTTTGACGTATTTCCATTCTCGGGCTCCTTGTTAAATCAGTGAGCTTGAGCATTCCCATTTCACCATCATCTGTAGCACCACAGTATTTGTAGTCGTGACAGTGAGCAGTCATGAAACTAGCAACACAAATAGTCCTTTACGCAAAAAAAAAAAGGAGGGAAATAATCCAGAAAATTAAAAATATGATTGTATTCTAGATTATGGTCCTAGGAAGAAACACTGAATGCTGTTTTAGCAAGTACTGCATGTTGTGTACTCTCTCTATTTAAAGAGCAACATTGAACCACCACACAACAGTCAATTTGCTGGACATAAATAATCAATGCAATGCACAAATTATTGAATAGATGGCAAAAGTCATCTCACTGTTTATTAAAAAGATGCTGTGAAAGGTTATAGTTATTTTCTTTCTCCCATAAGCTCCTACTATCCCTAAATTTTGTTATATTTTACCACCTCGAAACGTCTCCAAGGTTTACATCTAGAAAATTTTAAAATTCCTCTACTTTTCTGAACACTTTATGAGGGCTGAAAACTAGTGAATTTAAAGATGTTTGATGATGAAAACTATATGAATTGTGAAAGGGCAGATACGTTGTACAGGATTTCAACATTGAACTTCCATCAAAGAAAACAAATTTGTTCAGACCACAATAATAAAATTATTAACACAAAGTAATTCTTGTTAGGAGTTGCATTTCTGTTAAATACAACAGCACTGTGAGATCACAGTTTTAAGGTGTACATTGTTTAAGTTAAAAGATTAACAAAAATTCTTAAGACATTTAAGTGAACCTTAGCTCTTTATTATTTTATTAATTCAGTTTTTAAAGTCAAGGATGTGTGAGCTCTAGATGACATTTTTACCCCAATTTTCAAAACAAAAAAGCTCCAAAACAATTCCTACCTCCCTCCCCCCCCCAAAAAGCACACAATGAGGAGCTAGCTTGATTTAATTGTGCTGCCAAATATTTAACTTTACCAGCCAATTTTAAATTAATCATTCTAAAAAGAGGTAAGGATCAAAAGTTAATTTCCCAGAGTCTACATGAAAATTGACAGCTAAACAGA